TTCGTGTCACGATCATTAATTACACACTTATTTTTTTTACTTTTTTTTTTTTTCTATACCAGATCATTGCTTTTTTATTTTTTATTTTTTTGTATTTCTAAAATACACAATACACGGTCTTCCAGGTACTATAGATTAAAAGTGATGAAATAGAGGTAAATTGTGTCTAAATTATTATTTATCATTTGTTATTATAGTTTATAGTGTGCATACTGTGATTTAGACACACTCTATGACTGAAATTGCAAATGCGAACCAAATACCCTTGGTATTATATAATGAACAGGTGTAGTACATGACCCGTTGCGGGTTGTGGTAAATTAATGTGAGGCTCCATTTTAAGTATAAGTGACATATATGGTTAAGATGATAATTATTTGCGACGATGGCTGTGGGATTGTTCTCATAGTGTTTATTGAGAAGTCTGTTGCGTTTTTTGGGTCCACATACACAGGCGACAATACTAGCACAATTATATTTGGATAAAGCCTATAGCAAAAGATATACATATTTTGGAGAAAATAATATTTCTTATTTCTATTTGAGAAGACTACGAATACTTTCCCGTTTCGTCTGGCGAGTGAGGTAGCCGGAGCCCAATTTTCAAAAAGTTGTCAACGCATCTGTAACCCTCGGGTGTAGCAGATGTCCATGGGCGGCGGTGTTCACTTACCATCAGGTGAACCAACTTTTCACAACTTTGCACATATAAAAAAAAAGTAGAGGCTATCAAATACTATGATAAACACGTTTATGTGGTCACCACGGAATAGTGGCACAAATATTTTTAAAATTGGTTTAATCGTATGTAAAAGTGCATTCAAGCAAAGGATGAATATTTTGAGACACATGAAATTTATTTTTGACCTTTAATAGTATTTTTTCTTATTCATTCCGGAATCTTTTAACGCCCATGGTAATTTTATGAGTATTGAATATTTTCAAGTTTCCTATTCAAACTGAAATTTTACTTCATTTAATTATTAATTTACGCCTTACGAACAAAACGTGCTCTGGGAAGGAGGTTACTTGGAAAAAATCCCTTAGGTATAAAAGCGGCAGGCGAAAAACCTTTCCTCGGCGAAATAGTCAAACGGGGAAAAGAAACGAATTTCTTCCGATGGAAATATTTTTGCAACTCGCACACTTTTCGTTCAGGTATTTACATTAAACAATACTGCTTCAATGCGAAGCTCCTTAAGGAGCCACCGGGCTAATTGTGTCCCCGTCAGCTTCGCAGTTCCAGTTGAAGTAAAAAAAAAAGTAACAGCCTATACATGTCCCACTGCTGGGCAAAGGCCTCCTCTATACAGAGGGTATCAGGGCATAGTCCACCACGCGGCCCCACTGCGGATTGGCGGGCTTCACATATCTTCGAAATATTTTTTTGTTATTATTTCGAAAATATGCAGGTTTCCTCACGATGTTTTCCTTCACCGCGGAGCACGTGATAAGTCAGCACTTAAAGTTAAAAACTTCATTGGTGCCGGCACCGGGGATCGAACTCAGGTTGCTCGAGTATATTGAATTAAAGGCGAGCGCCCGGACACTGAGCTATCACGGCAGTTTCAGTTGAAGTTTATTTTTTGATACCGGCCCGAAGCTGTATAGCTGAATATGTAGAACTCGTTATTTTTAAAGGAATGTTGATTTGGAAATTTAATTTACGCAGATAGAAATAACAAGTAAAGGTTAATTAGTCAAGAATGTGTCTACAGCACTCTACTCTTAAAGCCTCTGCGAAGAGGACTACAGAATAGCCCCGTGTTTGCCTGCAAATTTTATTCTCTTTCCCCCAAGTTTATGGTTACATTGATTTTTTTCGATGTAAAAGTTTTAGAGCAATGAATTCCGCAAATTCCTTTGCAAAAGCTATGCTTGCCACCTTCACAGAAAAAAACGGCTAAGTGTGAGTCGGCCTCGCTCAGCACGAAGGGTTCCGTACCATTATCTATAAAAACAGCAAAAAAAAAAAAAACCATCTGTTGTATGGGAGCCCCACTTAAATATTTTTATCCTGTTTTTAGTACATGTTGTTAAAGCACTAACAGAAATAGATCATCTCTGAAAATTTCAACTGTTTAACTATCACGGTTCATGAGATACAGCCTGGTGACAGATGGACAGACAGTGAGACAAACAGACAGACAGGAGTGAATTTGGGGATATTCATCCCCAAATTCACTGTTGCCTAAGCGACTTTAGTACACTAAACGTACTCTTTTAATCGGAATCTAAACTCATTGACTAAAGCGTACCGTAATAATATATAACATTGCTAAAACACGCCCCTTACGTCATTATTGCGTATGACTCTTTGAAAAATGTTACATCGAATCACCTGCGAAAAAACTGTCGTACTGCAAATAACTGAAAATCGAATTAATTAGCTTTTACGCCTAAATGAAAAAATAACCTCACTAGTGTTATATATTACCCTCTTAAAGAGGGTAATATATAACACTAGAGGACTGGCTGCATAAGAATGTTACTTTAGACACATTTCTGAGTTCTCCCTCTATAAAACTTGGAGACTTATTTTCGATTTCAAGTGTCCGCTGAATGCAGCCGTAACTTTAGCATCGACCTTAGCAAATGATGTAAGTTCAAAAATAAGTTAAGAATCACAGAGATTTTAAAAGTTATAGCGTAGTTCTATGTTATAAGTATCGATGAAGATCCTATATATGATTTTCAAAGTTCGTATCTAACATTATATTCCATTAAAAACTTAAATAAATTCTTATGATCAAATTTCATTTTAAATATGAAGACATGATTATATTCTTCGCTGTTCCACTTTATAAATTGAATGAAAAAAAAAATGTAACAATGATCATGACAAGGAGCTTTACTTTTAAATAATTATGTAAATCAAATAAACAAAGTACTGTGTTGTGGAAAGTAAAAATAATTTATAATTTTTAACAAAAAAAAACCGACTTCAAACATGAAAACATTGTTAATACCTATAAAATTTGAGGATAGCCCTCTATTTTTCTGGGTTGCCATCATCAGATCCGGATTTCCTTGTCATGGTACCACCCTTGGGACAACTCCTTTCCAACGAAAAAAGGATCATCAAAATCGGTTCATAAACGACGAAGTTTTCCGTGAACACACAAAAAATATGTACCTTCCTCTTTTTTGAAGTCGGTTAATAATATTAAATTGATAATCGAAATTTTTGAAACTTAACCGGTAATAAGATATTAAAAGGCTTAGATAAAGCTGGTGTTGTGTAAAGTTTTAAAGAACAATACAAAGGCTGGTGATCTAAAGCGAAAGTTTGATGAGTTTCTAAGATCCGCTTATCGGCTTAGGTAAAACGGCATGGAGACGCGAATCTCAATCGAAACCACTGTTGTAGTTAAACAATAAATTCCGAAGTTAATTCCACGTTAAACTGTCAAAATTTACGATAGGAATAAAGTTTGATATCATACGTCAATAATTGGGTAGATTGTTAAAGCGATAATATTATAATATACATAACAAATTCATAATAATGTTGTATGATATTTTCCGATGTTACACAAGAAAACAAAGGAATACACAAATGAACTTAAAATATGCTATAAACCTATAAAATTATTTATATAATATAAAGTATCTAGTCAATTTTTAGGACTTGACAACGATGTAGTGACAATGTGTCAGAATTAAATTATCATTTCTTTATCAGAAAAATAATGTTCTAGATAAAAACTTACATACGACTAACTAATCTTACAGATTATAAAATCGTTTGATTCATTGTTCTAAAAGGAGAATTTGAATAAATTTCAAAAATCGCCATTAAGCCATTGGACACGCATACATGCACACATATTGCATACATATTTTCTTATCAGAAAAAAATAAAATTAACCCTGACAGAACTGGACAGAAGAAGTTATAAAATAAGAATTTAATTTTTAAGATTAAGATGTGCATAAAACCTTAGTAAGTTGAAATGAAAATGAATGTTACAAATGCTATTTATTATCTGTGGAGGTTAAACAATAAAAAGGTAATCGAAATAAGGAATACTTTTTAAAGGAGCTCTGTAATAATTGAAGCTCATCTCGGACACGGTCAGGTTGGTATTTACATTAAAAAGCAATTCGCTAAAGATAGGACGAAGGTTCCGCCGGGAGAATGAAACTCAAGAATTCCTATGTATCTCAGTATTGTTCCTTAAAGCTTTGTTCATTTTGAATTTTACAACTGGTATTTTAATATAGTCAAATATATTAATAAATTGTAAGCCTTTAAAAGTTAAAGACGTAGATGTACACCTTTAATATTTTATTTAAAACTATATTTTTGAAATAACATCTTCGGATCGGTAATACATGAGAATCGTATTGTTAATAAGGGCTAGATTTTTTTAGACGAACACCCGGATGTGGTACGATATAATAATCCACTTTATATATTTAGAAAATAATTTTTCAATAGAATCTTGACTTCTTTCTCAACTACTGTGCTTCTAACAATTTCCCAATAAAACAATTTCCCAATAAAAGAGCGATCCAAATTAAAGCATTATACTTTGAAGTTACACAACTATTGCAATTACACCGAAATGACCGCGTACGCAAACTATTGGGGTACGGCAAATAAACTTTTGACCATTTGTAATAAAAGTTTAGAGAACTTTTGACAACTGTTATTAATTATGGAGGATGGATATTATCATTTGTAGGTAAACGTTTCATGTTAAATTTTTTATCACAGCCAGTTATAGTTAAATCAGAAGCGATAGTAATTAAGGTGTAATATGAAGCTCGCAAAATGTAACTACAAGAGTGATGAATATGAATGTAGTTGGAAGGTGTAAAGTTAGAGGAAGACGATGATGGAAGATTTGGATGGGCTGTGTGAAGAATGACATATTTGTGAAAGGGGTGAGTATTGAGACGACGGCTGATAGAGGCAAGTGGAAGGAAAGCACATGTTGTGCCGACCCCACCTAGTGTGGAATAAGGGCAGGAGAAAGAAGATAAAGCTCGTTATTTTTTAAGGGGGGGGGGGGGGGGGGGGGGGGGGGGGGGGGGGGGGGGGGGGGGGGGGGGGGGGGGGGGGGGGGGGGGGGGGGGGGGGGGGGGGGGGGGGGGGGGGGGGGGGGGGGGGGGGGGGGGGGGGGGGGGGGGGGGGGGGGGGGGGGGGGGGGGGGGGGGGGGGGGGGGGGGGGGGGGGGGGGGGGGGGGGGGGGGGGGGGGGGGGGGGGGGGGGGGGGGGGGGGGGGGGGGGGGGGGGGGGGGGGGGGGGGGGGGGGGGGGGGGGGGGGGGGGTGGGGGGGGGGGGGGGGGGGGGGGGGGGGGGGGGGGGGGGGGGGGGGGGGGGGGGGGGGGGGGGGTGGGGGGGGGGGGGGGGGGGTGGGGGGGGGTTGAAGGCGTAACATTCAGACAAAAAGACATATACATAAAATATGCATATAAATTATAGCCTATGCTTTATTCTGATGTATAAGCTATATAATTGTAAAGTTTCATTAAAATCCATTCAGTAGTATTTGCGTGAAAGAGTAACATACATCCATCCATACATACAAACTTTCGCGTTTATAATATTATTAAGTAAGGATGAAACGAAATTGACATAAGTGGGTAAATATTCTTAATTAAGGCTGTTTAACTGCGAACTTGTTTAGTTGTTAGTTGGACTCATATTTTATTCTTTCTATTTTTAAATTTATATAAAAAGGTGGCAATTGAGCTGGCGGTTCACCTGATGTTAAGTGATAACCGCCGCCCACGCACATTTAGATCAGTGTTGCAGATGCGTTGCCACTTTTTAATAAAGTGGACTCCGTTTACCTCTGTCATCACTTCCACTTCACGACGGTCTTCTGTGAGGTCGTGGTACTTCCCCGGATGGACCTGCCCCATCGTGCACCCGTGCAAAGTTAAGTTCTAAACTAAGGACATGAATTTATTGAAATGACACATTTTAAATTTGCTGTTACAATGATTCGTAATTATATACGACAAACAATTGAAAAATGATGAAACTATTTTCATACATTTAAACGTAGACCTTAGATTAAGGTTCAGGTGTTGTGTCCATAGAATAGGCCCATACTGTTAATTTGACAGATTTTGAACAATTTTCTTTCGTGGTGGAAATTGGTTCTGCTAATAAAAAAAATAAGACTTGTTTTGTTCCGAATTAACAAGAGTTAATTTCAATACCATTTAGATATTTACTTCTAAGCAGAAGTAAATATCTAAATGGTACGGTATATACGGTCATGTTGAACTCAGTTAATATGCAAAATAAGAAAGCACTTGTTGATAGACTTCATTCAAAAATTTCAGTGTACATTACATAATTATATCGGACGAGCTACAAATAAAACGATATACAAATCTTTAGTATCGAAAATGACGCTTCGACATTAATACAAACGGGATAGATTTAAATTACGTAAATTCTTTTACAATATTAAAATTTGGTGCATATATAAATATGGTTAAATTTAAAGCTTATTTTGAAATTCAACCCAGCAAGATCAAAATTATTATTTTATTATCATTGCATAGAATTGTTTTGTTACGTTTTTATTTATATAACTCCTTTATAACCACTTTCACCCCCATATTGCAAACATTTATATAGCTTCAAAGGTATGTTTGCATTTCATCAGCGACTTGCTAATGTGTTTTGTTCATAAATATTGTTGTGATTTAAACCATAGGATAAATCTCATAATATTACTTTATTATTACAAAGTAGCATTTATACGGTTCACGTAAAACGTTAATAACATATTGAGAAAATCGTGCAAATGTATTTGAACTACACGTCTTACTCTGAGTCGGTTTTGTATCTCATCTCTTACTGGAATTTAGTTTCTCGTTATCCCGTCTGCGTTAAATACCGTTATTTCCTCATTCGGTAAAATTTTAAATAAAACCCGACTTATTGGGCGTTTCATTACGTGCATGCGTTCGGTCAATGCATTTGCATTACAAGCCTGCACGATTTAAATTCGCCGGCCGGTTTCCGGTGTGTTTCATTTTCACTTGGACCATTTCATTTTGAATACGGTTTTATTCAATTTTCCATTTTAAACGTAGAGCTTGCACTGGGCATTTATAACCCTTGTGTAAATTTTTAAAATGCGCGTTGAACACAACAGCGACCTTAATATACAGAACTTGCTTAAGGTGGTGCCAAACGATTCGAATGGTATTGATAGAAGCATGATTATTTAAATTATTTCACTTGGTCGTGTGAGTAAGATAACGGGTATATGTTATTTTAAAGCACAAATACGCTAGTTCCGAGGCTGTTTTTGATGTCTATGCGCGCCGGTGGCCACTTAAGTCAAGTGAAGCCTACTCATCTGCCATCTTGCCTCAAACAAAAAGTAAAGGAATTAAAGCTCTTTCACTTGAAATTCTGTACGATATTTCAGCATGTGCATATTTTTCATTTCATTTCAAACTAATGAGCATTTGTCTCCCATACCATGTGATCAGTAAATAGAATTAGTCATAGGAGATAAAAGCGAGTAATTATTCAATAAAAGGTAGGCTTTAATTGACTTCAAAAAGGAGTAGATTATTACTTCGGGTGTTTATACCTTATTTTTAATATACGTTTGGGCTTTGCAAAATTCTTTTTATGTTCGAAAAGGTTTCATTACGTAATGGTCCCATTAATATATCTAATGATGATCTAATGATGATTTTAGGCGACAGACAACGGAACTCTTTTAAAAAAAATGACAGCAAATCAACCGCGATCTTTTTTTTGTGAGACAGTGGCAAACGTGCTGACGGTTCACATGATATTAAGTGACAACCGCCGCTCGTGGACATTTTCAACGCCCGTAGGGTTGCAAATGCGTTGCCACCTAAAGTGGACCCCGGCTACCTAACTCACCAGACGAAACGCAAAAGTGTAATACTTCTACTTTAGGCCGGTCTTCTGTGAGGTCGTGGTATTTATCCAGATGGAGCTGCCCATTCGTATTTTTTATTTGCTGCTCTTGCATAAATATGCATTTTGCGTGATGTTATGTAAACACAACATAGCATAACGATTCATAATTAGGTTATTTCTCTTGCAGTCTATGAAATGTATTATTCTATAAATAATATGTAAAGGAAATTAAATAGACTAATTATTTGAAACCTTTTTCATTACATAAATGTACCTGGAGGAAAAAGTAAATAAAAAATAAAGAAAGCAATGATTTGTTATAGAAAAAAAGTACAAAAAATAAGTGAGTAAATGATCGTGACACGAACCGCGGCCTTCTGTTTCGGGGCCGATTACCGACCGACCTATTATAACATTTTTTTTTTCGGCAAAATTTACCGTCATACCGTCTGAAAACAGGGATAAAAGGACAAGAATTGCTCGTTTAAAGGTATTAGATTTGCTATTCAAAAATATACCTGCAAATAGCGGTAAATACCGAGGTACAAATCGGTTATATAAAAAAAAGTTTTGAAATCTAACAAACCTATTGATTTAAAGTACTGTCACAAAGTCACAAAATGTTGAGAACTTCAGACTGACATCCACAAGATACCCGGACCTATGGCCCATAGAAACTCCCTACTACTTATAATGATGAGAAACGAAAAACGCTAAAATTTTTATTTCTTACGGCACAGTAACGAACGGTTGCCTTTAGGAAATGCTGCAATTATTTTGGAGTGACTACACTGTAAAGTGCGACCGTTATAAAAGAACGTCGGCTGAACCTTACAACCGTCAAGGCTTTATTACACGTAAATATGTATTGCTTTGTTAAATTTTAATTTAAAAGTGGTAACAACCACACTGTTAAGTTACGAACTTTATCTTGCTAATGGAAATAAAGGTGACACTTTCCAAATTTAATGAATGTTTTCAAAAAGCCGCGCTGGCTCAGTGTTCGGGCGCTTGATTTTAATTCATTACATTTGAGCAACCAGAGTTCAAATACTGTTTTTAAGTGCTGACTTATCGCGTGCTCAGCGGTGATGGAAAACATTATAAGGAATTCCGTATATTTTTGAAATAATAACAGAAAAAAAATATTTCGAAGATATGTGAAGTCCGTCAATACTCAGTGCTATTTCCTGATATCCTCCGTACAAATAAGTACTTTGCGAAGCAGTGGAACATACTATATTTTACTGTAACTTTCAAAATGTCTTTGACATTAAATACGGGTATCACGAATAACTCCTAAGTATATCCGAAGGCAAGCCACAGACCTAAACTCTTACTTTAATAAGTTTATGCATTTGTGATAATTATCTTCTCGCGTATACCTATTATATAGTACTTATTTAAAGTTAAACACTTTACGCCTACTTTAATAGTTTACACGAGTCGTACAATATTTGAATTGCATACTATAATATTTACTTATTACGTATTTAACAATAATAGTAAAATCTTATTGAAATCCAAGTATTTTTAGAATATAATAGATGCACTTTGCAGACCACTAATGTACAGCAACGCATTGATGCTAGCATAATGTTCCACATTCATTTATAATTAGGGTATATTTCTCTTGCAGACTATTTGCAGCATTATTGTATAAAATGATTCATTGTAAGTGCAACTAAAAATATGAATTATTCAACAGCTTATTTAAAAATTTAACACATAAATTATTAGTATCCTTATTATGCGCAAATAAAATATTTTTATATACGAAAATAACCATTAATGATAGCACATACACGTATCGAAACATAAACTGTATAAAAATTTTTTATAATTTGTTTTTTATATCCACATTCTGAAATAAAAAAAACGTTCTGTATATTTAACTCCGTATTTTTAGGACTTACGCCTAAGGTAAACCTCAATTCGATGCTCCATTAACCTTGTTTACATGAATATGCTTACTTTCAGCCTTTTTCTAAACTTGCCAATATTTTTTTTATCTCGTGGCGTAAAATTTGATGTAACGAGGAATATTTCTTCTAGTTAGAGGAAAAAGTTAAATTCTTACTTGCCCAATCGCTGAGGTCGCCTTTGATAATAAGCTTCCTGCATTTTCCTTCTGCGTCCTTGTGGGTAGTCATATTATTTGTTGAGTTGTCCAAACAGCGCCTTTTGAGGCTACTACAGTCTAGTTTCCGTCCCATGGTACCGTTTTATTTCATCTGACTCTTTTGCGACTTGTGAGCGAAGTGTGGAGTTTGTAAGTGTAGATTGTAGAAGTGTAGAGTGTGTGTAAAGTTTAACGGTGGTAGGGCCACGCAGCAGCCTCGGTTGTTGCACGAATGGGCAGGCTCGTCCGGGTGAGCACTACGACCTCACAGAAGACCGGCGTAATGTGGAAGTATAATACTTTTCTTCTGGTGAGTGAGGTGGCCGGGGCCCAATTTTCAGAAGGTTGTCAACGCATCTGTAACCCTCGGTTGTAGCAGATGTCCATGGGCGACGGTATTCACTT